TGAGCCCTGGGCTCCACATCCCCTTGGCAGGAGCTCTCAGTGCATTCCTCCCTGGGAAAGATGGGGACCCCCAGCACCCCAGAACCGGGACACCCATCTGACCCATCCCACAACTGCTGTTACAAGACTGTGCTGGGAAGTGAGCAGGGCCTAAGGCCCCACTGGTCGTCAATGTGTTCGATGCTCCCCCGTGGAGCTGAAGCCTGAGCCCCTCAGCAAGTTGCCGTGGGCCTGTTGGGTCCTTATTTATTGGCCACCAGGACTCTGAAGGTCACTGGTGGCTCCACATGAGACCCCTCCAGAGTCCCCCCTTCAAGGGAAACACAAGCAGTCCACTCATCTTGAAGAGCCTGAAAATTTGTCATGTCTTCTTTCTAACCTTTCCACACCTCTTAAGTGGATGGACAGCATGAGCTATTTGGTGCAGTAATCACCAAGTAGTCACCAAGGTAAGAGGTGGACATCCCTGGACTGGTCAACCTTCAGGTTGCTCCAAGGAAGGTCACATTGTTAAATACCTCCAGGGGATCCCAGCAAGTGGCCAATTGGGCCTTGTAGAGAAAGACATTCAGTTACTGTGTAAGTGGTAAAGAACACAAAAGTATGCCTGACGATTGTGTACATAGTGTTTATAATATCGCAATAATATATTTTACCAGTGGTATGTGGGCAGGTTTGCTGCCACTGGCTTAGGGGAGGCATATACCTGAAACTCAGAGCTGTCACCTCTGCACCTGTTCTGGTGCTGGGATAGGGAAGAGGCCTTTGGGGCGTCAGGTAACTGTGGTGGGTACTGGAACCAATTCTTTAGTTGGCATGTTTAAGGATTTATTCCCCGACCCCAGAGGGAGCTCACTCCACAGGCATAGCTCTCCCTCCTAGCCACGGTGTTTATCTCGTGATGACGTGTGCTCCTGGACTTCCTTTGAGCCGGCTGTGGGAGAGGTCGTGTTGTCTGAGGTTCAACTGCTTCTCTGGCTTTGCTACCGGCACCACGTGAGCTTTCTGGAGAGACCGTGCAGGGGTTTTGCATTGGGGCCCTGTTGCTGGGGAGCTGCTTGGCCATCATGAGAATCCTGGACAGCATGGAGCATCTCACAGTTTACAGGCACGTCCTTCATCTCAAGTGGCCCCTTCAAAAGCCCAACTGCAGTACTGAGAGCCAGGCCAACAGCTCAGCTCTGAGCTGCAGGTTGGGTTTCCTCCTGTGCCTGGGAAATGGAAAGGGAGGGTGGAGCTGCCTGTGCCCCTGCGTACAGAGTTTTGAGGGAGTGAGAAAGCCCCCGAGCCCCAGGAAGCAGTCTGGGAGAGAGAAAGCCTTGTCCTTTTGCTACACCCCTGGGAAATAAAGATCTGAACTGTCAGAAAAGGAGGCACCATGGGGGGCCGCTGTTCCCTTAGAGGGGACAGGTGGGTGGTTGTAGGGATTTGTGTCTGCCCCATGGACTGAAGCACTAGGTGTTTGGTAACCAGGCACACCACTCCCAGGATCTAGGACAGATCCACATTCAGGTCCCGATTTGTCTGTAAAGCACTTTGATGTCTCACATGGAGCCCCGCTTTTGGGGCTCCTGCTTCCCACTTCACCCACCCCTGAGGCGCAGAGCAGGAGGGAGGGCTGCCTCCAGCCTACGATTGCTCCTCAGAGCTGCAGAGGAATTGAGTGTGGTGGATATCAGGTGCAGTGCCCAGGAGGATCCCAAGGGATGGTGAAGGGGATCACCTTTCTGTGTGTCCTGTGGATATGTCACCCTCCCTCCCTGTGGTTACCAATGTTTGCATCCTGGGTGCAGCTCTGCTCTAAACTGTTCCCTCCTCTGTTCCAGTTGCTACACCCTGGACCAGCAGCTTTGGGACTATCCTGGGTACTAGTGAGGCTCTGTTCTGTTCTAAGATGGATGGATTCAGTGCTGGAGATACATGATGTACTATGTACTTCCCGTGCTCCTTAGTTTCAAACAGGATTGGCAGACCTAACGGCTGTTCATAGGACTGCAGAGTAGGGAAAAGATAAATGTGTGGCAACCTGACATAGGCTCCTGACCCCTCTCCAGCCTTTTTGGAAAACTGCCAACCTCGCCAGAAAACTGCCAACCTCGCCATAAGGCAGAAGATGACTCAGAAATGCTTTTGCATTTGTCCTAAGTGCCTGAGCAGTCATTGTGGTGACCATTGCCAGAACAAAGGATCTGAGGCCAGTGCCACCAAAGGGCAGTGCAGAGTGTTACATCCATTGATCCACCCCTCTGCTCTCTAGGAGTGCCCCTGGCTAGCTTCTGTGTGTCTGTCCTTCATCTGTATGAAAAGCTTCATATGCTAGCAGAGCTTCAATGAGCAAAAACACTCCAGCAAGATAGGAAAACTTGCCTCCTCTTCTTTTTTGTCCCTTAAATTAATCACAACCAAATAAATAAGCTTTAAAAAAAATCTAATCCATAAAAGATGGGAACATATGAAACAAATGTTTTTCTTATAACGTCCCCAAATTGTTGAAACCTTTCCGGTGTTTAGAAATTGGAACCAATTCAAATCCACAGTCAGACATCTTGGAATGGCTTCCTAAAAGATGAAGGGATGTCCCAGCTCAGAAACTTGGGAAGTGTGAAATGAGTCAAGGATTTATTTTCCTTCATATTTAAAATCACAAAAATGCAGCAGAAATAGAGGGTTTGTGCCAAATTCTAAGAATGGCTCTTTCTTAAAGACAAGCAAGGGAGAGTGATATATGTACAGTTTGCTCCCACATTGACAAAAAAAGAAAAAGTAAATGTAACTTAATAGTTTTGTAAATGGGAAAGGGGGAATCTATAAACTATAAATACAGTTATTTTATTTTTTGTACATTTTTAAGAAGAAAAAATAAATATTCATAACATAAGAGTGAAACAATGGTGTCTGGTGCTTTCTGTGAGGTGAGTGTTGGGCTTTTGGCCTGAGTGGAAAGAAATCTTGGTATCATATACCTTGGTATGTGGCATGTGGTATGTGGTATATGGTATATGGTATGTGGTGTGTGATATATGGTTTGTGGTGTGTGGTATATGGTGTGTGGTATATGGCATGTGCTATATGGTATGTGGTGTGTGGTATGTGGTATATGCTATGTGGTGTGTGGTATATGGTGTGTGGTATATGGTATGTGGTGTGTGGTATATGGTGTGTGGTATGTGGTGTGTGGTATATGGTGTGGTATATGGTATGTGGTGTGGTATATGGTGTGTGGTATATGGTATGTGGTATGTGGTATATGGTGTTCATAAGCTTCCTTCATCCCTATACTTCTCAGAGCTCTTCTAAATGGGTGCATGGGTTAATACTGGGGACTCGGGAATTAGAGGAAAGACAGTGAGGGCTTCTGATCAGCCAAAAGCAATAAAAGAAGAAGGGCATGATGAAAAGCACCAACAGCAATCATCACCCAAGTCACACATTCCCTGGTCAGCAAACACCCCTCATGCACCACTCTGGAAAGAATTGGATTTCTGGAAAGGATTGGGCAGAGGGGGAAGCTACTTTGCAGACACTACTGTTAAGAGGTACATTGAGAAGAGAGAGACTGTTCACCTGCCTGCCTTCACGAGGGTGGTGTGTACTGGTCACCAAGGAGAGTATTTAATAAAGACTGGAGTTGAAAGGCCCAGCTGCCCTGCACATCAAAGTGCCATTTCTTCCAGAAACTTAAAATACCAGCTGTTTCCTGGAACAGTGCTGAGAAAAGTCCTAAGTAAGCCTCCCCGTGGCCTTGGCCATGCCGAGCTGTCCCACTTAGCTCTGCCCTGTCATCAGTGTTTGTGTCCACAGGGATGTCTGGGAGTGTGCGTGGCACATTATTGCCCGGGACAGGATGCGGCCTGTAGTCAGCATTCAGCTGGAGAGAACCCTGCTTGAAATGAGTAACTCATTAGTGATGCCCTAGGCCAGAGCATCTCTTCATTGTACAGAACTCTCCCTGTTTTATTTGACTGCTCCTCTTCTGAATTAGAAAATACAGGACCTGGTGGAGTTTTTTTTGTTTTGGGTTTTTTGGAGGGGAGGGTGTTCTCTGATTTCGTTTGTTTGTTTTTTTAACCACCTCAAAACTCAGAACATTTCAGGAAAGTACTAAGCACTATCCTGACGAAAACCAAGGGTACCTGGGGATTTCTCCATTTCTTTCAAGGACAGTCCTTGTCTTTCCTGAGGGAACACCTACCCTCTTCAGTTGGAGAGTGCTGAACTAGGCTGTGAGGGGTCTGAGCTGGGTCAGAACATGGGGAAAATGCCCTGGATGATAGGAACCTCAGGTTTGGAAATGCATGGGACTTGCCAGGTTGCAGGTGTGCAGACCTCTCATCAAATTGGAGACTCCCCACCCTCGATTTGTTATCATTCATGAGCAGACCTCATGAGTATCAGGCCACTGCTGGTCCATAGAGACCAACTGTGTGTGGTGAGAAGTCTCCCCTCCATGTTAACTCAATGCTCACATGAGGTCTGGGTGGCCATTGAGGCTCCTGTTACAGATAACACTCAAGAGTTAGCAGTCCCTTGTTCCTACAGCACTGGACTTCTGGATGAGGAGCAAGGCCAATAACAGCAACAGATCCTCTCAGACTGGAGCGTGAGAGGGAAGAGAACTGTGTCAATTTCCTAGACTTACCTAGACCCTACTGAGTAGAAGTTTGCCTTAGTTTCTCCTGTTGTGCCTAATGTTTGGACTCCAGCTTGAAAAGGAGAAAAGGGGGAAGGAGGTGAAGGTCATGATCAGAGGGAAGTAAGGAGTCCGTACACACACCAAGAATGCTTCTGAATAGGACTTTGGACTGAGCACTCTCCATCCCCACCTCCCGCCCCAAACCTTGGCTCCCTGTGTCTTTCTAGGGCAGGAACAATACCAGGAGGAGCCTAGAACTCAAACCTGGACCCTCACCAAGGTAGAATCAGACAGGGCAGCAGTGTAGTCAGGAAAATTTCATTTCCAGACAATCATATTAAACAATAAACATGCTTTAATGCCAGGCAAGAGCTACACAAAGTCAACTGATATGGGGCCACACATGATATGATTTATATATTAAATCCACTTGTGGAAAGTCCCCATGGGGCATATCACTGGGATGGGACAGCACCCACAGCACCTCTTCCCCACTTTTAAGTGAGGTATGAACAGTCGAACATTCTGCAGCATCTTTCAGGTCATAAGCCATTTATTCCAGTCCCTCGGACACTGCAGGCTGGCTTTACTTGGGTCATTTCCAGAGGTCCCTGAAAATAGCAAAGACGATAAACAGCCCAGCACAGGAGCAATAGGCACCTTCAGGCATTCAGCCTTCTGGGTACTGTGCAGAGCCTTGACCAAACTTCAGTGCATTGGACAAGACATGCCAAGGCCTTCCTGGGAAGGGGGAAGAGAAAGAGGAGAAAAACAGCCTTGGAGAAAGTACACACAGGGTCAGTGACTGGCCAGCATCTGGAGTATCTCCATTCCTTCTGGGGATGGTGGCGTTCATTAGCCATGCATCTGGCTCTGTTTCTTTCCTGAACACCTGGAGTCCTCTGCTCTTCATTCCAGCTCTAGGTTTTAGGAAACACAGTGGGTCTCGCTCAACCAGATGTCGCAACCCAGTCAGGTTTCTCCAATGTTAACTGATGTCACTCATCAAAAGAGAACTAGGTCTTTGGTCCAGAGTAGGAAAAAGTGGATGCAACTCCCAAGTATTAGCAATAGATTGTGCTGGATCTCCTCACCCCTCTGTATTCCATGACTTAGGTTAATTCCCTATTTTTTTTCAAAAACAGACTTTGCCGCTTGGCCCATGGAGGAATTTGGTAGGTTTTGGCATAAAACATGAGCAACTGACACTGAGTCTAGGTTCAAAATTTCACTCTACAGAATTGATTTATTTGGGTCCATCATACAAACTGGCTGCAGACAGACCCATAGGACTCTCTCTGCCTTCTCTTGAGCAGGTCTCCCCCACCTAACCCACACCTACCTCCTTGAGTGTTTGGGCCTCCCCATGCCAACTGCTTATGAGACTATGACTTGCATGTAACCAGCAGTTTTTATTCTTGGCCCTCAATTCAAATTAGTGTGTATAAGATGGCCAGCTCAAACAGCAACTCAAATTTTCTTGTCACTTTTGGAAATAGAAATCTGCATTGAAAGAATCCAGTGATGAAAAATACTGTTGAATTCCCCAGAGCAGGCTACTGTGGACACTTTCACTCATACCTTCTTATGGTGACTGAGATGACAGCCCTGCCTCTGACTCTGAAGGGCCACTGGGGTCATGAAAAAGTGAACATTCCAGGTATGGCTCCCTCACCAGGAATGTGGGTTAAACCCCTGGGAAGTCCCAAGGACTCAGGCTATTTTTTTCAAGTCTGTGAAGTATCCATCTCCTCAGAAGAACAACACGCCACCAATCTCACACCACCAATGAGCTGCTGGATTGAGCTGGCAAACCACCAACCTGACCCCTCTCAGTCACATTAACTTCCTGGTTGATGCTCTGATTGACACAACCCCATTAAACCTGCCCTGCTTCTGTTCTCTGTGACACTGGAAAAGCATTCAAAATCAAAGTTGGGCCCTCGTCACGGTTACTTTGTACTTTTATGGAATATATAAAATATACTTGCTGACTGGTACAATTTGTGCAAAGACAGGTATGACTTTAAAACAAGACATAAACATTCATTTATAGTTGGCTTACTTCACAATAAGCTACTAAAAACAGTCTTCTGTAATAAGATTGTATTAGTGCTCACTAAACATGCATTTACAAGGCAAAACACTTAATTTGGTCTGCAATACTCGCTATTTTATATACAGCAGTTTTGTTTTGTTTTGAAATCACAATCGGCAACAAGATGGGTTTAGTTTTTGGAATATGTTGCCATTTGTGTTTGATTTCCATAGAAACTCAGCTCAACTAGTGTAAACCTATGGAAAAAATAGCCGAGCCGTCTTTTCCCTCTCCTCTGTTTCCTTTGAAATGTTCACAGCTTAAGAAACTACAGCCTGTTGGGGCAGAGGGTGGAGATGGCTCCATAGGGGATGTCCCAGCTCCTTTAACAGCCTTGCCCCAGAGGGGAACTTGTTCTTAGGGAATCCAGCGTCTGGTGCCATCAATAGCACAACAGACCCAGGTGGGGAGTTCTGTCTTCCAAACGAAGCCCCTCAAAGCTTGCAATAGAATCACAGCACAGGCTGGATGAAACTCCCTTCACTTGCCCCCCGGAGTCTTATGTTTTAGAACAGGGACATTAGCATCAAAAGAAAAAATAATAGTAATGATTCAAAAGTCGTCGAACACCGAACACCACAAAGTCTGTTCATGCTGTCCACAAGCGCAATGGGCTGAGGGCATGCCCACAAAGTGGCCATGATGAAAGAAGCTGAAGGCGAGGGCATCGCAGAGAAGGGCGCATCTGGCCACACAGGGGACAGCATCACCATCAACAGTATTTGGCAAAACAAAACAAAAAACTCCAAACGTTAAAAGGAAGAATCAAAGGAAACACAAGCAGCTCGTAGGTTCCATGGGGTGAGGGGCTCAGAACTGGCCAGCACTGCTCGGGTCACACTGCAGGAGGCGCACGATGGATGGGTCACTTTTGGCCCCTCGGATGAACTCTTCCAGGGACAGTTTTCCTAGGAAGCAAGAGGAAGGGTGAGTGGTGGCTGGTGGCAGCTGCATGAGTTCACACCCTTCCCACTGCATGTGGGTAGCACAGCCGCTCACCTGCCTGTGCCCAGTCTCCCCAGACAGAGCCCAGGTGACTTTCCAAGGTGAGACCTCTAAGGCAGGGACTCTGCTGCCTTGCTTACCATGGCACTTCCTGCACCTAGCACAGTGCAGTGTCCATTCAACACTTCTTCCTGAGAGCCCACTGTGTGACTGTCCCTGGGCTGGGGGAGGTAGTGGATAACCCTGACATGGCCCCTGCCCTCGTGGCTCATCTGCCCCCACCTACCCCAGGGGGGCCCACTCAGTATTTGTGGATGAGTGACCCTCAAGGCTTCACACACGGGCCATGATGTAACTGGGAGCCTTTCAGCCACTCAGGTGTACTTAGGTTTGCAGCAGGTCCCTTCCCTTTTATGCGGGCAGAGACCCTGGACATGAGTGTCCCTTCTTTCAGACATCGTGTGAGGTCTGTAGCACCATCCAAGGTCAAGAAAATGAAGGAGTGTGTGCCAGGCAGAAGGCAGCCCACTGGTCTGTCACTATCTTGATGTGCTGGAGGGAGAAGCCTAGTAGTCTCTCCTCCCTCCCCTCCCTCCGTCTCCCTTTCCTTCTCCTTTCCTCCCTCTCTCCTTTCCTCCCTTTCTCTCTCTCCCTTCTTTCCTTGACAGTGTCTTTCGGGCCTTGAACTTCAACCATTCTGCCTTAGTCTCCCAAGCAGCTGGTGTCCGTTTGCTCCAGTGTCCTTTTCTTCCCAAAAGAAGCTGAAATGTGCCTGAATTCTCTTCCAGGAGGTTCCTCTGCCACTATGGTAGCAGAGAAGATGGGGGAGGCTTTTCCTCCTCCTTGGCACTTCTGCAGTGGCCATCCTCTTACCTACCCTGTTCTGACCCCAAGAGTAATGTCACTCATTTGACTGGCAACTTTGAGGGGAACTTCTGGCCGTTTTGCTCAGCTCTCCCCTCCTTTTCTTGGAAGGAGCTGCCTCAAGACATTCTTATCTGCTCCTCTAAGACAGGCACAGAGCCTGCTGGACCCTGCTGGACCCTGCTGGTTTTAGCACTTCCTTGAACTCTCACACTAAGCAACATCCTCCAGTGTAGCTCTATCCTTGGGCCTCAGTTACTGCTCTTAAATTTCTCAACGAATTCCAACCCAGGCAAGAGAGGGTGCTTATTGGAGCCCTGTCACCACCAACACATCTCCTCAGCCACAACTCCCTGCCCACCAGAACCTGGTTCTTGTCTAGCAAATCTACTTTATCTACATGAAGGAGAGGGGGGGAGTGACCGAATGACTGTTCCACTGATTTATAATACAGAAACAGGTCCCTCTAAACTGTGTGTCCTGGCCATTTTTTAGTGACCATGTCCCTGCCATGCTGTAGTCAAAATGGTAATGACTTGCTCAGCCTTTGAAAAACTGAGACTCAGGGGTGCTGAGACTCCCCTGACACTGTCAGACTTAAAGCCCTGCTTCCTCCTCTAGTTTTTTTGTTTTGTTTTCTGGTGGTACTGGGGTTTTAATTCAAGGCCTCACACTTGCTAGGTGAGCAATCTGCCACTTGAGCCATGCCCTAGTCCGTTAGCTTTTAGTTTGGTTTTCGGAGAGGGTCTTGTAGTTTTGCCCTACAGGGCCCTAGACCTTGATCCTCCTATGTAGGTTTCCCAGGTAGCTGGGAACAAAGGCATGTGCCATCACACCTGGCCCCGTTTTTTTCTTTCTTTTTTTTTAAAACACAATCTTTCCATTAGGAAAGCACAGGACTTTTATCAGTCAACTGCATTTTGGGAATGCTAACCCAGTCAGGGTCCTTTGATCCCAGCATAGCTGCGTCCCAGTGGGGAGACCCTTTCATTGCCTGTGATAAACACAGTGCAGGCTTTATCCTGAGGTGCCTTAGTCTTCTAAGCCTCCTCTAAAGAGGAGGTTGTACCTAGCACAGAGCACTAAGCCACTGTGCTCCCTGGAACACCAGCACATGGTTTATCAAGCAAGTTCATTAACTACTCAAATCATTTCATGTTTGTTTAATCTTTGCAAAACAATCGAGCTGTTTGCTATGAGTGAGGCACATGAGGATGGGGAAACAGGATGGAAGAGGACGTTGTGCATCTTTGGGGAGAAAACAGGGCAAAGAGCAGCCTGTACCACCCACACTCAGATTCTCAGGCAGCTGGGCCCTGGATGTGGGCATAGAAAAAGGCTGAACACCACCCCCCCACCATCCCGTTGTTAAACACATCAGCGTCACTGGCAAGAACTGTGGAGCACAGATGGGGCATGGTAGATCAGGCCTGTCATCCCAGCTACTTTGGGAGGTGGGGATGGGAGGGTGATGGTCCAGGCCCCCTTGGGCCTATCTAAAAACTAACTAAAGAAAAAGGGGCTTGGTACAAGTGGTAGAGTGCCTGCCTAGCAAATGTTACCCTGAGTTCAAATCCCAGTACTATCAAAAAGAAAAAAAAAAAAAACGCTGAACACTTTGCACAGAACTGGTGAGCAGGTAGCAACAGCAAGAACTTCAGAGCTGATGACGGAACAGGCTGAGCCGAGTGCTGCCACCCAGGTACTGCACCAATATGCTGCTGGATTTGACAACTAAAATAAGGAAGCCCAGATAACTTTAAATTTCAGATAAACAGCAAATAATTCCTTAGGGTAAGTACATCTAAAATATTGCCTAGGGGAATACTTTTATTAAAAAACGTCACTTGGTGTTCATCCAAATTTGGGTACTTGGGTCTTCTGTATTTTATTTGATAACCCAATATCTAAAAGCCAGTTGGTCTCTTTCTTTATTTTTATTTATTTATTGAGCCAGGATTTCCCTATGTAGCCCAGGTTGGCCTTGAATTTCTCCTGCTTCTACCTCCAGTGCTAGAATTACAGGTGTGAGCCACCATTCCTGACTTGTTTGTTTTGTGTTTGCAATCTAACCTTCCTTTTCATTTTGGTTTGCTTTGCATCCCCTTGATGGTTTTCAGTCGGGGGTAGCACCTCAGAGTGGGAATCTGCTGGTCACCCCAAATCTCCACCACCATCCCCAATACCTGTGGGAGCACCTTTGTTTCCACATCTTAGAGCATGCTCAGAAGACCCCAATAACTCCCCCCCCTGGCTAGACCAGGGTGAAGCTGCTGGGGTCTGTGTGGAGTAACACACCCCTCCTGTATTGTGATAAACTAACTGCACTGCCCGTCCTGAGGACTGGGCTGTGCCAACAGTGGTTTCTTGGATCCTTCCACTTCTGCTTCTTAAGACCAGGGTAAAGGTAACCTAGAAGGAGGATAGAAGGGACTAGAATTAAGGGATTTCCCCCACACTAGGATCAATTCTCCAGTGGCAATCTGGTTTCTCTTCCTTCTTGCCAACAGGGGACACTTAAAAATGGACATTCTCATAAAAGTCCATGTGCCAGGTTCCTGTGGATGAAATTTTGTCCTTAAGTAGTACTTCCCTGCCCTGACCCCCAGCACTCCCGACCTGAGCAAAGCCAAGCAGGGCTCCTACCATCTCTATTGGTGTCCATCTGGCGGAAGATCTTTTCTGTCCTTTTCTCTGGGGTTGACTCATCTTCCGGCATTTTCATCACAGAGGAAACCATCTTGTAGATTGCCTGGGGACAGAAGACAGGGTGGTAAGATAGGAACACAACTTGGCACACAGTGGCTCTACTATTAAGCCTTTCAAATACTGGGGTGAAGGGACGGTCCCTACGTGCACGTGGAGCTGGTCCTGTCCCTACTGATCTATTGTAGGACTGGTAGAAGCCAGGCCCGCAGAGCTTGCTCTCCTCCAGTGAGACCCTCAGTAGTGACAACTGGTAGGAAAACCTACAACTGCTGTGTCTGAAATGTTAATGCACCTACAAGTGACCTGATGAGTAGGGCCTGGGAAAGGGATAGGTAGTAGGGGCTTGAACCCAGGGTCTCATTTGCTAGGCATGTGTTCTACCACTTGAACCATACCCCCAGTACTTTTGATTTTTTCTTTTTTAAGTTTGTTTTTCAGATAGGATTTCACTAACTTTGTTTGGGGGTGGCCTCAGACCAAGATCCTCCTACCTCCACCTCCTGAGTAGCTGAGACTAGAGGCGTCTGCCACCATGCCCTGCAAAGCTCTGGGTTTCTCACCAGCTCCACGTGCTGCTGCTGCTGTTGTGCTCAGGACCCTACCTTGAGGAGCGAGGATATAGGGGAACATACCCCAGGCCACAGAGACAAGTGGGGTTCCTGTGGTCTCCACCTAGAGGATCGGGTCTGTCACCTAGAGGATGACAGACACCCTATAGTCTACGTGTCCTTATGTTCTCCCAGGGAAGCTTTCCCAGGCTATCCCAACCCACCCCAATGTTTTTTCCCTGTCATATGAGGCCGTGGGCTCACAGCAAGTTCCCAGTAGCCCTGAGGAGAGAACATCCTGCCTGAGTTTAGATTAAAATAATTGTGCAATCTCAGGCCTGGGGTAGACTGAGCACATCTGTGGAATCTGGTGATCAAAAAAGTATCCTACCAAAAGACTTTTAAAAGCAGTACTGAAACTGTCCCTCCCACCACCTGTGGCTTCTCTACGGGACTCAGACAGGACCTGGGAGGCCTCAGTTGTCAAAGGTGGTTTGCATTTGGGAAGGGTCACGTAAAGTCATTGTTTTTACTCCCAGAGCTTGACTGTACTAATCAGATTCACCTTGGGCTCCTTAGACCTAGAGAAAAAAGTTTAAGAAAAGTAGATTTTGCCAGGAGACGGTTTCTGGAAGGTTCTCCAGGGCAGCCAGAGAAGTAGCTGAGGGGAAGGGGTCTCCAAATGGGAAATGTGGGAGCAAAAGGAATATTAATGGTTAATCTTTTTTGCTTTACACGCAGGTTTAGAATTGACCCTGCTGGAAGTCCATAAAATATTCTAATTTCAGTCAACAAAATAAGGATGAAAGCTGGACTCAACCAGTGTACTAATCCCATAGCTCAGAAACCCCTAAGGCCGGCTCCTGATTCTGTCTTAAACCTTCCCAGTATCTTTGCTGAACTAGGAGGAAGGCCAAGCCTGTCTGGGGCGATCTGTGTCAATGGATAAACTCAGCCACGGTCAGTTTTCCCTGCATTCACTGAAGTGTCTCTGGAGACAAGAGGCAAGTCATAATCTGTCTTTCCCTGTTGCATGTCTCCTCCAGTCCCTGTCTATGCCACCATCTGTGCTAGGATTGTAGTGCCACATGCCAAGCTGTTGGGAACAGCTGACTCCTAATCTGCTCCTGCCCCTCAACTCCCAACTCCTTGGGAGAGCTAGGAAAGGTCACAGACTTAGCACTCTTTTTACAAGTGGGGAAACAGAGGTGCTTAGCTCTAGTGGGACCAGGTGACTATTCCATAAGTGGGGTAGACAACAGGTGCCTTTCTATACTGGCAAGTGTCTGGAGGTCTAGCGACCTCACCCAGTTTTTTGTTTTTTATTTTGTTTTATTTTTTATTTTTTTGCTACATGGAAAGCTCTTCTGTAGCCCTTGACCTAAGCAACATGGAATCAGTGGCACCAAGTGATGAGCGTGAGTACCATTTTGTTAGTTCATAAGCCCAGGAATCTTAGCACTGCAACAGCAGCACAGTATGGAGACATCGGCACCCCACTAGGACACACAACAGAGCCTCTTTCTAGGGGAAAGCTGACCCATTCAATAGGAGCATTTAAGGACAGGTGGTAAGTTTATTTTTTTCCAGAAGTCCTAAGAAGGCTGGGTAATTACCTGTCTTCAACCTTCTTTGGGGCTGGATGGCTCCTTCACTGAGTCTGGTCTAGCCAATGGAAGATCGTCTCACTGGCTCCTTCTACTTGCTTTGTGTCCATGACTGGCCCAAGGTAGCATCTCGTAGATCTTGTAGCAGCTCAGATGAGGCTGTTGTCAAGAGTCTACTGATCTGACAGACATATACCTGTTTTCTTGGACCAGGTGTTTTCTTGTTTATACTCTTCTCTTACCTGAATGCTCACCTATACCACTTCCACTCCTCCTTGAAATCCTACCCATCCATGTGTCAAGGGCAGCTTGAAATGGGACCCTCTCCAGGAAGACTTCTCTGTGTAACTACCCTTCCTCTGCACTAGCAAATGACTCTGCCTTTTGGATCATTTCATTCCACTTACCCTGAATTGTAGTCTTTTTACATGTGACAGTGGCAGTCAGATTTGCCTATTTTTCAGACCACTGGTGGTGCCTATCACAAAGTCCTGCAGAAAGTCAGGCTCACTAAATTCAAAGAATTTGTCGAAGAATATCTGTCTCCCAACCCAATCCTCTTCTCTTGTGTTTTTTCCTCCCTTACCTTTCTTCCATTCTCCTTGTCTTTGTAAAGATCCCCCCAGCCTTTATATTTTTCTTGTTCCCACCTATTTTTCTTTTTCTCCCTCTCTTTCCATACATGTAAAAACCCTTAATGGTTCTGAACCTGTCAACAGTTCTGGCCTCACCCCTTAGAATCCATGCAAATGTTCCCCTGAACACACACACACCACACACACACACACACACACACACACCACTGCAGACGGTTTCAACGACTCATAGATTTGAAAGCTCACCCATGGACTCCAGTTATGAAAATGCATGTCTTTCTTTTATTCCCACCCTGATTCTTACTCATTCACCCATTCACACATCCATCAAATCTTTACTGTGCAACTACTGTAAAGCAGGTTGAATAACTGACCTAATCTTTGTCCTCGTGAGGTTTTCTGTGAAAGAAGGCAGACAGAGAAATGAATGTAAGACCTGGTGGAGGGCTAGCAAGCAGGGTGCATAGTCCAATGAGGTGATGTAATAGGGACTTAGGTAGGCCTTGTCAGGAGGAATAGGAAGACTCCAGTGAGGACTGATGATTGAGCAAAAAAAGATGAAGAAAGTAGGGCTTAAAGACATAAGGGAAACACTGTAGAAGCCTAGGGTGGAAGACATGGAGAGAAGATCAACATGGTGAAGAAGCATATGGTTTTGGAACACGTAGGGACAGCCAGTGGGCCTCATAGACCAGGTTAAGTTATTTATATTTCTCCTATAATCAATCAAAAGATGGAAGTGCTATTAAATTTGTGTTTTCTGTGTGTACTCACTTCCCAGATCTACCTCTATACCATTGTTTTTCAGGCAATGGTGTACAAGTATTAGACAGTAGACATTCGTAATTTATCTCACAATGATTTCTTGTCTGCTATATGCTAGGAGATAGGATCAAGGAGTCGACAAGATGAGCATTCTCTTTCTTATTTTATATTCCACCCATCCTTTAGAAAAAGACTTGAAAACACCACACTGCAGCCCCACAGTGCCCCATTTCTCAGTGAGCTCTGTGGGCAGTTATTCTAGCAATGGTGTCATAATTGTCATCAAAGCCTTCACCTAGACACTACTCAGTACCCTAGTGGCCAGTAATGCACCATTGGTCTGGGACACTCCTTGGAACTCTTAGTCTTGAAGATTGGGGTTCATGAAATTCCTTTCTTGGCGCTCTGATGCAAAACCAACTAGCAATAATCCAGGGTTACTCCGTTAATATGCCTAGTGAAACAGATGAGTGAAAGGCTAAGCAAATACACGTGGATGTGTTAGAAAGAAGGCTCTCACACCCAACAGAGTCTGAGTTTTAGCCTTTTACAATTAAGCTGAATGAGTGGGGCTGGTGTAGAGAAGAGGACAGGCTAATGTAAAACACAAGTCTGCAAACAACCTTTCCTCTCCACGAACAGCCTTACACAACACAGGTAGCATTTGCAAACTGGGTTTATGGGTGCTCAGTGTCTGATTCCATTGTGGGTTGAGGAGGAAGGGACATCTTTAAGAGACTCACATTTCCAGATGGTCTTTCCATGGCACCCAAGATTAGACTTTTTTTAAAAAATGTGTATCAATTCGTCAATAAGGATTAGTGGATTATTCACAAAACCAAGTCTATAATGTTGCTGGTTCCAGAGCAGACAGCAGAGTGGAGGTGATCAGTTCCAGTGGTGTCAGGAATAGGTAAGTGGATGATAGCCTTGCAAAAATCACAGCTGGGGAATCATCTGTCTCTGCTCCCTTCTCATAGCAAAATCTGAGACTTCACAGCACAGAGAAAAGACACAGCCCAGACAGTGATCCGAAGCAAATCATGTCTTTTAGCTCCATTTTCCCCAAAATTTAATGGATTAAACCATGAAGAAACCAGGCAACTTCTCCTCTTTATTTTTAGTAATGCCAGTGAGAGGCCTAGCAGAGACATCTATTTTTAATTAAACTTGAAGAGTCTTATTCTTGTCCCTGGGTAAATGCAGAGGTTGGGGACACCCAGGATTCCCCAGTTGTGGTCTGGCCCTATCACCTTCCCAGTGACATTTTTACGTCATTTATAGTATTTTATTTTTTCTTTTGTTCTTTCCTTCCTTCCTTCCTTCCTTCCTCCCTCCCTCCCTTTTCTTTTTTTTTTTTCTTTCCTTCCTTCCTTCGTTCCTTCTTTCCTCCCTTCTCTCTCTCTCTTTTTTTCCTTCCTTTGAAGGTACAACCTCTTGGAATGTTGGAGGGACTCACATGTGAACTCAAAAAGGTTGTGGGATTAACTGAGGCTGGGCACAATTCCAAGAGTCAACACTCAACAT